AACGGAGCCCAGCGTTTGGCCCTGCACCCCACTCCCCCCTCAACCTCCCCTGTGGTGGGCCCAACCCCATTCCCCACTGCTGCCACTCCCTCCACCCTGGCCCCCCTATCACAGAGGACTTGACCCCATCCCCCCCCATCCTTGTGCCACTGCTGCTGCCTCCTCGATGGAGCGGGGGGATGCAGACCAGCTGCACTGGCCTGGCCCCCCAACCCTTCTGTCCTGGGGTGGTGGGGCAGGTAGAGACAGAGGTATGTGGCCGCCCCCCCCGCTGCTTTTGGCCTGGGGCCGGCCCCACCCCTAGCATCCCTCCCACTTGGGGGGCCAGGCCACTTTGGGGCTGGAGCTGGGGCCCCCCTGCTGCGGCAGATCTAGCCTTGCTCCTTCCCAATGTGGAGGAGCTGGTTCCATTTCCCCCCCAGCCGCCACTCCAACCCCATTCCCCACCACCGCCGCCGCCTCCTGATCCCCTCTCTCTGCCATCTTGGCAACACTCCTCGATGCTGCCACCTGCCGTCCTCCATGCTATTGGAGCACTCTGATTGGCTGCTGAGACAGCCAGTCAGTGTGTGAATAAAGCATTACAGACAGACAGACTAAGGCTTTTATATGTATACTAGCCAATTGCCCATCAAGAATGACGTGGGAGGGACTGAGGAGAGGGGACTGGGATAGAGTGCCGCCACCTAATGCCCCATGCTGCCGCTGTTCTGCCTCTTACAGGGAGCAGGCTGGGGGAGCTGAGGGCTGGGCCTGCCCTCTGTCCAGCCCTTGGCACGGCTTCAGAATCATGCCAGTGCGCCCCCCCCCCCCCCCCCTTTGGGGGCCCTCCGCCTGTTTTTTCGCCCTTTGGAGCACTCTGGCTGTTTCTGTCAGCCAACCAGTGTGTGAATAAAGTGTTAGACAGACAGACTTAGGCTTTTATAATATTAGACTAGAATAGAATTGAAGAGTAAAGGTCTGAGAACAGAGCCCTGGGGGACACCACTGGTTACAGTGTGCCAAGTTGATTCAGTTCCATCAACTATCACTCTGGTTCCATCCACAGAGCTAGTTCCCCAGCCATCAGACCATGAAATTGTCTAGACTTCAACTCCTCAATTTTTCCATGAGGACGTCATGGGACACCAGGTCAAAGGCTGTCTTGAAGTCTGAAAATATGATATCCACCTCTTCTCCTATGTCCAGGTTTTGTTTGGCTTTTAGAAATTACATTGTATAAAGTGCTGTATATGATTTTGTTTAAAATAAAGATAGTTGCTACATCTGAGGGGTTCTGTCTGCTAATCTTGGTATAATTCAAAATAGTAATACTTAGTAAGGAACCTTACTAAAATTACTGTTCTAAATTTCTTAAAGATTAGCTGATAGAACCCATCAGATTCAGCAATCCCCTTTTTCCAAAAAAATAACTTAAAGAAACATGATTAACATTTAAAAGTCAAAAGCAGCCATTATGCAAATTACATGAGGACACGTGTTTGAAAAATTTGAAGTTTGTGGAACTGTGATTATTTACGTAAACTGAAATAAATAAAAGTAGTAAGATTTAAATACTAATGCCTTAGCTGCTGCTGCTACTTCTCATGACCTTGTCATAAAGTAGATGTATTTCCAGAATCATGCACAAGCAGTGGCTCTTTCCATTGCTGTAGCAAGGTCCTCCTTGATACAGGTCTCGCCAAGGAGTCAGCAAATGAATATGTGCCCCATAGTCTTGCACTTCTCCGCACTTGCCTATATTCATGTCATTAGAGTAGCCCCATTTGATCATGTTTTATTTTTGATCTTCAGTTTTTATGAGCAGGCAATTCAGGCATCGCCATGTTGGCCACTCTAGATCCACTCCTCTTGAAAAGTCTTCTTGGTGTTCCAGTTCCATTTCAGAGCACCTTATTGCTCGTAATCTTTCTTTATATAACTTTGGTCGTGTCCTGTCAGTCGTCTTGTCCAGCGGTGTAACACTGATCACAACACTCTTACATTTTAAGCCGTTTAGTTACTTTGTGACCATGGAGGGGAATTTCCGCCTGGGGTCTTCCATCTGCTGTGATCTTTCTTTTTGGCTTGCTATCTTTCTTCTGATATTAGGTAATGTAATGCCAGCCAGTAAGTACAGGCTATCCTTTGGTGTTGACTTTAGACATCCTGTTATTTCACAACAGCTGTCGTTTAGAACCGGGTCTAATTTCTTGGCATGAACCGATCTTTCCCATATGGACATGTGCACTCTGCAGTGGAGTAACACAAGGCAATAGCAGTGGTTCATACTGTAGCTGAGTTCACTCCTCGTTTTGAGGTAACTAATTTGCAAAGTGCGTTGTTGTAGACACTGACTTTCCCTTTAGTCTTTGAAGGTAAGTGTTCGGTCTAGTGTAACTCCCAAGTATACAGGATTTGGTTGATTAGTCAGTGGGATTGCATCCCAGATGATATTTAATTTCCTCTTGGCTTCTCTATGGTATAGGTGAAAAGCTGTGACTTGCGTCTTGGTTGGGTTGGCATGGCTGGTTCTTACTGTAGTAATCTGAAAGTTTGCTCAGTGTGCATGTCAGTCTATTCTCAACTGTGATAAAGTCCTTCACCTGTGACATGATGCATAGATCATCAGCATATATGAAGCTCCTCATGTTACCCTGCATGGATTGGTAATTGGTATATATGTTAAAAAGTATCAGTGCTAGCATGCTACCCTTTGGGAGGCTATTTTATTGTCTTCTGCAGTGGCTCCATTTCTTGCACAGTTCTACGTAAGACATCTATTCTCCAAAATAAATTGGATTATCTACACTAGGTGGTAGTCGTGTGTCATATTGTAGACTTCGGCAAGTAGGTTTCAGTGGTTGACTGCCACATATCGCTGATAGGTTTGGGTTGTAAGTCTACGAGCACAGCACCTGTTATCATCCCTTTCTCGAATCCGTCTTCGATATCCCTTAGCAAAAGTCAGTAAATATTCTAAAAAATTATATGCCAAATTCAGTAGTCCTCTAAGAGGTAGAATTCAAAATATGGAAACTAAATCAGAAACTGGGTTATGGGGTGTAAGACATTTTAAATCCATTCCTAACTGCAGTTTTAACTTAAATATAGAAGTACTGTAATACCTCCATAATATTAGCATTTACTTAAAAATGTGTCCCGGGTTTGATAGACACTATTATACTTTAATTATCTGTTATCCTCCTAATAATTAGTTTTGTCTGTATATATTTACAAAAGTGTCAATTAAACTGCACTGAATAAATAATAACAAAATGTATACATTCTAAAGTTCTAGATAGCTTTTTATGCTAGGACTTTGGTCAGATACCATATTTTCTCACATGTTACACACCCAGAAATATAATATGCGCCTTGTTTTTCAAAGGCATTATGAAGAATCCTTCCCCACCCCCAGAGTTACAACTGCAGGGAGCAGAGACAGAGCCTAATCTTCAGCTGACTCACCCTCCCTTTCCTGATTAACTAAAACCTTAGCTACTGCTGAAGACTGGTCTCCTTGGATGAACCTCTGATCTTGAAAATAGCTAAAGAGCTGTGAAATAGAAGAGACCAGAATAGAATAGAGTAGAAGAGATCAGAAGCCCTAGCAGACAGCAAAATTACTCCAAGAAAGGTTAGGTTGATTAGTGGAATGACTGTTAAAAAGGAGAGATGATTAACATAATGTGAAGCAAAGAGCAATGGACCATTAACTTAGTCGCCCACTCATGGGTCATTGACTATCAGCTGCTTGCCTAGTAATACCGGAGATGCTGCATTGTGGAGGAATCAAATCAGGGTGTTTCTGTCCTGGGCAAAAAAATGGCTTCTCCACTTAATACATGCACTCCAAAGTACTGATTTTGGGTAGAAAAGGGGTGTTCTGTTTGTGAAAAAATATCTTAGTATTGGTGTATTAAACCTTTAGAGAGAAGCTGTACCACTGGACGTACTGCCCTTTGCTCCTGAATTACCAAAAAACCCGCCAAAACTTCAAATTTCTGTTGACTTTGTATACTTATGGAGGGCCAAATTCAATGATCAGTTTGTATATACAATCCCATTAGTTTCTATTGGAGCTGTATGCACAGAATACCAGTAAAGTATTTTCTGAAATACGCAGAGATCAGATAGGATTGTGCAGTGTACTTTGGTCACACTTCATAGAATCACAGAAAATTAGGAAAGGGACCTCAGGAGGTCATTTAATCGAACCCCCTGCTCAAAATGGGACCAGCCCCAACTAGATCTTTCCAGCCAAGGTTTTGTCTACCCAGGTCTTAAAAACCTCCAAGATTGGAGCTTCCACTACCACTCTAGGTAACCTGTTGCAGTGTTTTACTACCCTCCTAGTGAGAAAATTTGTCCTTTTATCTAACCTAAACTTCCCTTGCTGCAAAGTTTGTTTGCTTCATTTTTGTTGATGAATAATGCTGTACCTCTTAGCAGGTTTTACTTCTCTCGCTTTGCTTTCTATTTGTTGCCTGACTGTTTGTCCCAAAATGTAGTTGATACCTCCATATATTAGATGTGACTTGTATTATAATAACAGCAACAATGGATTTTAGTGACTTTTCCAAAAATTCTCTTTTAGCTTTTAATCTGGTATTTGGAGAATTTGTACTATTGAATGCTATGGAGTACAGTATCCCATTCAATGAGAAACCCTTCCGATTTAAAATTACCATAAGCAAAAGATTCTTATCTATTTTAGTCATATCTAAACAGAGCAATAGAATTAAAGTGCATTATAGATATCAGTGCTCTGAAGTATATTTATTGTACCTCATGTTACATCTAGAACAAGAGTCGTTCTGCAGTTATGATTATTTTGTTTACAAAACATAAAACTTAAGCTTGTAAGCTGCATCCTCAAACCCCTAGGGCTTTCCTAATACATTTTGTAGGGTTTGTATTATTGTCAGGGATTAAAGTGCGACATTAACAATTAAAATGTGTGTTGTGTGTTATACCCGATTCAAATTGTAATGATGCTTTTTCTACTCCATCTATAGCTTCCTGCAGATTTCACAAAACTGCACCTTACTGACAGTCTCCACCCACAGGTGACCCACGTTTCATCTAGTCATTCAGGATGTAGCATCACTAGTGATTCGGGAAGCAGCAGCCTTTCTGATATCTACCAGGTAGGATTGTTTTCTACCCTACTGATTACTCAGTTTTCTCCATATAAATATTTCTGAAATCCAAAATGACAACCCATAAAAGCAATTGTATGAACTGTAAGTTAATTTGTGCCAGGTACTGAATGCACACTTTTCTTTTTTTCTCAACATCCATCCAGTAGAACAGCACAAATACCAATACATTTCAAGAAAATGGAGCAATTTGATCTCTTTATCCACTACTTACTAGTCTACTGCTTGCAAGTTAAACTAGCAATTTGTAATCTAACGAGCCTGTGTAACAAGGCACCCTGTGCTCTGTTACTCTCAGGGGCATGGGCAGCAAACAGGCAGCCCACAGCTGGCTGGTATCCCAATTAGGCAGTGCTACTGGATTGGGGAACAGGGCCCAGCTGTTTATATATAAGGGATGGGCCCTGAACAGCTGGAGCAGCAGTGTGCTGCCAGGAACCTGGAGAGACATCACTGGCTGAGCTACTGCTCAGTACAACTCAGGGTAAGGGAGGAGCTATTGGGGACGGCAGGAGGTTCCTTGTCCTGGGTACAACAGAAAACTGCACCCTGCTGGGAATAGTGGCCTGGTGGGACTCCCTGTGGCAGGGGAGTGCCTCAGAAATGCCAGACCAGTTACCTCCCCAGTGAAAGGTGAATATGGGGCACCTTCTCACCCCAGACCCCACATCTGTGGTGGGTAGTTGATCATCGCAGAGGGAGCCCAGGCTCACTGCAAGTACTGAGGCAGAGCCCAGGTCGGCAGGAGGAGGGACCTGTGGCAGCGCCCAGACTTGCAGTGGAGTCTGAGGCTGCATTAGGGAGCCAGGAGGTAGGCTCCAGAGGGGATGGAGCTTGGAGCCCTAGTCCCATAGTGAGGGGCTTGGAGCCTAATGTGAGGAGACCTGGAGCCCAGAGAGGGGCTTGGAGCCCAAGGACAGGGCTTAGTCGGTGAGAGGCTTGGAGCCTGGGGACAGGGTTTAGAGCCTGAGGACAGAACTTGGAGCCAGAGAGGCTTGGAACCTGAGGACAGGGCTTGGAGCGTGGAGATGGAGCTAGCAGGCCCAGAGATGGAGCTTGGAGCCCAGTGTGGCACCTTTGGGCCCTGAGTGTGTGTATATTGAATCGTGGTAAGGCCAGGTGTTAGGCCATGAAACATCTGTGAGGCATGGGACACGATAAGGGAAAGGTTGGAGTTGTGTACATAGGCCCTTGCCTTGTCACCAGGGCAGGTAAAGGGCAATCTCCCACCTGATTAACATCTGGTAATCATTTACATCAAGGCATGTCAGGCAAGGTGGGCGGGTGGTTTGTCCAGTAGTAAGTGGGCGGGCTTACATTGAGAACGGCCCCGGGATGCCCACTTGTTACAGCCTGACATACTTGTCCCACAAGTCCCACTTGTTCAATGAGAGCAGTACTTAATGCTTGTCACTCTCAAAGCCATTCGACAGAAGTCTAGAGAAAAGGACTATGTTACAAAGCTCTTCTGTACCACTTTCAGTTGACTCTATTTGCAATTGGTAGTGTTGAAGGAAAGTGTTGATTTGATGCTTCATCATAAGAGGCCATGTGGAACTTGGGAGATCTGGACTCTCTTTGTGGCCATTTTGATGTCTTTGAGTAAGTTGCTTCACTTCCCTTTGCCTTGGTTTCCTCAAATGAGTGCTTACCTCCTTGTTCTACAGATGAAAGACCTACAAGAGTTAGATCATCACCATCAGCGTGCTTAAATGTAAGATCAGAAGGTTTCAAATTTTAAACGTCTGAAAGATTTAGGACATGGTTATGCAAAGAACTGCCAGCAAAACTCTGTGATGTAGCCCTGGCCTAAGGGAATGGTTAGGATTTAGGTTTATGGTGTGTTTGGGAAAGTGTACCATCTTACTGTTAATCATTCATTTAAAAAGTATTGTTAATAGATTTAAAGACAAGGGTTTTTTCCTGAAGTGCTTTAGAAACTATATTTGCATAATATCAATGAAATATAGGTCAGCAGCCTTGCAACAAGCCTCCAGACCTATATTTCATTGATATTATGCAAATACAAATGGTTGCAAGTGGCAGTTATGATATGCAGTAGTGTCAGTTTCTACACTGCAGAGAGATTTTTAAGAAGATCTGGTACAAGCTTCTACCTGGGAAAAGTGTCATTGGTTTTAACCTATCTGAAGAGGAAGGAAGACTTTGTTTTGTTTTGTTTTTTAATTTTCCTCCCTATAATGTATGTCATAGAATACAACATTCAAAGCAGCTACAGAGGAATAGCCTCTGTTATTGTTTAATTTTTCCAATGAATTCATACACGATGAAGTTTAGTATACAGAAATGTAATCTCCATTATGTAGAGCATAGTGAGGACTTTGAGGTGAACCAGAAGGCCTTATAGCACTGCTACCTCTGGGCTACTTTGAAAATCCCAACCAACACTTTTAAGATGCTTTTTTGTAAATAATGCTGATTATCTTTGTTTAGATTTCTGAAATTAAAAACAAAAAAACCAAGAACTCCTCCATCCCACATATACAACCAAAACCTTTCACATAAAAACCTTTACATGTACTGCACAGGATAGAGGAAGTTTTAAAAACTTCTTATTCAAGAAACCAGTTTAAATATGCACATGATAGTCCATAGCAATACAGGGTGGTTACAGATGTTAAAAAAAACAAAATACAAAAACGGCGCTTTAATTAAACTAGGTACACTCCCGCTCCGAGTCCAGTGCATGCTTGCAGATGTTAAACCCCACCCCCCCAAACAAAAAAACATGTTTTATCGAAAACAGCAGCATGTTAATTTGACTCAGCTTGCTCACCATCTGTATAGATTGGGCGCTTTAATGGGGTTTTTTTAGTGCTTTTATCTAATAACTGATTAAATCAGCTTTAGTTAAAGCACCAAAAAGCCCTGCTGAAGTGCCCAATCTATATGGACGCTGCGGAGCCAGATTGAACTAATGTGCTGCTGCTTCTGGTAAAGTTCAGTTTTTGGGGGGTTTGTTTGTTTTTTTTTTAATGGCTGCAAGCAGCCAGTTTTTAAATTTAAACTTTAAAGCCACTAGTAGAGAGTATGTTGTCATTTTTGGGTATCTTAAAGTAAATATTGTCACTATTGTTACTAACCTGAAAACTACAATTATTCATAACTTATAGAGCAGTGTGTATATTATGAGTGAACTGACATTGTACATCATTAATCTCTTATCTTGTTTATCACAAGAGAAATCAGGGTCTTGTTGCAATAGATGCGTATTAAGTTTGAAAATTGCTAGCACTTTTTTGCCTTTGGAAATTCTCTGTGGTCATATCAATGACTGAATAGTTATGGTCAACACTGAGCTACTAATAGAAGCTGTCTCTGTCTAAAGTACCTTTCCTTTTAAACTTCTCCTGCTTCTTTTTATTTAAAAACAAACTTTGAAAACTAAAATACACATCTGTGTAAACTTGGGCTTTGACAAATCTTGGGTATTCAATTATCAGAATTGTTTGTTACTTGGGGTTAATGCCCACATACATAATGGACATTTTCTTTTAGTTGCATGGATCTATTCATTAGGTCAAGGTAATTATGGGAAGAACTGATTAGAAAGATTATTGGCTTAAAGTGACCTGTTTCAAATGTGTAATAGAAATCAATACATGCTTTTCTCTTGTTAAATTTTGAAGGAGATTATTAACTAACCCTTTACACATTTAAGTTTATGGTGTATCATTTTCTCAGTTAACTGTTGGCTCTGAGTTTTCTGTATAGTAAGCTTTTCCTGGTGCGGCCTTAAGAACAGCTGTTTGCCATGAAAATAGATTCATAGACCTTTTTCATTTCTGAATTAATCATGAAGCTGAATCTTTAGATGCTTTCAGCATTGATCTGAGAATATTTCTGTTTAAATATTAATGTTGTAACTAAATTTGTATGTTGCGTGCTGCACATGAGAGATGAATTCATTTAGGACAAGAATTACTTGCCAAGATAAAATACGAAATCCTTTCTTCAACCCTATCAGATGCAGAGAAAACACTGAAGTACCTTGAATAAGACCGTTTAATATTATTTTTTCATATTTGAGTTTAGGAAGTAGGTTTATAAAGTGACATGCCATTTCATATTGCTCTTTGGAGAGGATAGGGAGGCTGGATATTAAGTGATTGTTCTTGGCACACATGAGCGCATACATAAAATAATGTCCACCTTGTCTTTTTTTCACTTTGAAAAATGGCCTTCTTGCATACAGTACCTGCTTCCTGTTTGGGCACCTATCATTTAAACTACTGCAAACTGATGAGCCCAGTTTGGCAGCGAAGAAAATTGGATTGGTGAGAGTGTTATGTTTATTCCTTTTTCCATTTTTAGGTGGTGGAAATTGTTATTTTAGCTTTTTCCTTTGCCAGCCTTTCTTTGCTATATCCTGTAATGAGACTGCATGGCTTCCTGTCAGCCTGACATGCCCTCTGGTGTCTGATATTCTGGATCAGTAAAGGAAACTACTAACATCCTTTCCAGGAACCTCTCAGGATACACGTACCCGTTGGAAGTTTTCAAAATGTGGTCTTGCTCTAGTGACTTTTAAAGGAAAACGAACTGCATTTCATACCTGTCTTCCCCACAAAAGCCATTTTTCCAGTAGAACAAAAGCCTTAACATCATTTAAGCCAATGTACCAGTGTGCACCTTAGTGCACTCCTTGTTTTTGTAACGTACGAATAAAAAGTACCATTTAAAACTGTTACTTGCAGATATTAAAATGACAGATTGACCTTTGATGCTGTCTGGGGTTGTCCTTACTGCAGACTGCAGTATAGTGTAAAGATGCCCCTGCTAACTCTGGTACTATTTCTTTGGATAAATTGGAGCAAGCTATGCTCTGCTACTGCAGCTACTCCACTTCCAGAACCTGAGCTAACTTATTTTACAGCTAGTTTGGGTATCTCTGCATTACACTACAGTCTACAATGCAGACATACCCTCAGAACTGGCGTTTATGTGCAGTTTATGTCAGTGAATGATTAGTTGTGCTACTCAAAAAGCCAATTTGGCAATTAGACAGCTGGAGGCTAGGCTAGTGTTTTTGAGTTGTATTGTTTCAGATCCCGAAGACATTCCATCTGTAAGTTAAGCACACAGTTAAAACGTGCCTACTCCTCTGTTGTACTATAAATTACATGATTACAGGGGTGTGTAAATAATACTTGAATATAATGAAAGTTTAGACTAGAGGCTTAGGGTATTGGATAGTATGAATGACCATGCTTGGCAAATAGATGGAGAAAGAAATTCATCCTTTAATTTACAATTTGCATAAAGCCGTTGTAATGTTTTTTTCATAGTAAATTGATAGTAATAACCTAGAAATTGTAGCCTTCCAGCCAGTCTGTCTTATACTGCCACGCAGTTCACCAAAACACAACTTACACAATGTAGTATGGAAAGGCCTGTGTGGTTCAGATTGTGGCCAATTTTTCTCTACAATCATGGGGTGAAATCCTTAATGTCAGTGGAATTTGCCATTGACTTAACTCCAAACTTTTCCTGTGATTCATATGGTGGGAGCAATTGACTTAAGAATTACAGGCAACTTTTTTTATTTGTGAGAGCAGACACTCCAGCAATGGTTGCCTGTTTGTCAAGGCCCTGGGTACAGCCCTCCTTTCCAGGGGTCTAAGGATACTGCATATATGAAAGCCTTTTATTCCCCAGAAAATAATGCCAGATGGTCTTGGTATCAGTAGAGCAGTTAAAAAAACACTAAATCATCCCTTTAATTCTTTATAATACTGAAGATGAGAGCTTGGATCATGAAGAGACCTTTCTGTGATGTGGACTGAATAGAGTAGAAAGGCCTTTTTTTTTTCACTTCCAGAAAAGTGTTGTGTATCGGTCCTTTTTAATGCACCCCAAAAACTGCTTGGTTTTGGAAGCTTAGATTAAGGAAAAACATTGATTTCATGCTTGTAACTGTTTTAATTTATCTAATAGCAACCTTTTAATTTATCTAAAAGCTAATATCCTCTCATCATCTGGTGCAGTTTGTTTTCACATTTACAGTAGACTGGAAGGTGGACAGTTAAGCAGTAATGTTTTATGGCAGGGCTATCCAGCTTCACCTGGTGGGGGCCGCATGCCTCACATGGGTCACTGGTGTTGGCTGGGCTGCATACAGTAGAGGCTGTCAGGCTGTCTGGGACCCGTGCTGCCTCTGTGCAAGCCCCCTGCTGTCACCACCATGGGGGCAATTCCTCCTTGCTGCTGGTACACGAGTAACTTGAGCCCCCCTGCTGCCAGCACCATGTAGGATATTTTCTGGCTCCCTCCCCCAAAATCTGCTGCTACTGACCAAGTAGCAAAAGTGCCTCCCCTTTTCCCTGTTGGTGTTGCCATGCAGGCAGCTAACTCACCAGGTCTCCTTGATCTCCTTCTGTGTCTGTGCTGTCCTACTCCAGAGACCCCAGCTGCCATCAGGGCAGCCAAAGCAATGAGGGGACTGGCAGCTGGAGCCTGTGGGCCACACATTAACCCTTGTGGGCTGGATGCAATCAGCAGGTTGTCAGTATGAAAGCCCTGTTTTTATGCATGTTATCTTTATTAAGCTTCGTGATGGCATTAGACTGTACAGTGTTTAGGATGTGCTAGCCTTTTACTAAGGGCCTGGCAGCTTCTTTGACAACATGATCATCCTGACTAAGTCTTTGGGTATTGCTACATTCCAGATAACTGGCTATAATCATTTAATGTTGCTCAGAAGTGCCACTTTTAACAGGATTCATATGCAATGTGTTGACACCATATATGGCTAATTTCAGAGCTTTAAAAAAGTCTAGTATTAAGTCAAAAAGCCATTTAAAAATATTTTCTCTGGTTTATAGAGCACAGTAACTCCATTGACTAAAGCAGAGTTACTCCTGTTGTGATTGTGAGAGATCTATTGCCTTAGAGCAGCTTTGAGTTCTAGTTGTAGGAAGCAATACTTAGCCTATACATCTAAACTTAAGGGTTTCATTAGCTTCAAAAGTCAGTGTCAATTATTTGCTCATGATGATCACAGATAATTTAATTAGGACTAATTGCCCTGCTTTTTGTGATGCTGCTGCTTGTTTGTCTACCCATGATTTCAACTATGGAAGGGATTCAGCTCCAGAAAACCTGCCATTACAGGTTTTGATGTTGCTTCTGGTTCTTTGATAACTTTTTAGTGTAGCCTCTAGATATAGGTTGTGAAACTGCTTTAAAAGGTAGTTGTTTTAAAAAATTATTTAGAAATCACTGAGTTTTAGTTGGTATGCATCTCCAATTCTAGGGCTCTCGTTTATGCTAACTTTCAGATGAATGCTTATTGTTTTTAAAAAATCTTAAAATTTTCTGCCAAATGGAGGCTTAAAAATATCTTCAAAATCCACTCAGGCACTTCTTACATTGAAGCTCACTCAGCTTGTTACCATTATATGTTGTACCTACAATTGCAGGTGGTATGAAGCTAGAAAGCAGGGCAAAAAACTCATTTAACAAAATCCAGTCTTAGGATAACTAAAAGAACCGATAGTGAGCTGTGAAGCATTGTATGTTTTACATTACTTTTACTTGAGAGTTGAAACCTGTTGCTGTTATGACAGTGCATGTATTTAGTCTTGTATTTATCGGCATGTTTGAATACAAGTTCAGTTTAAATATTAATATCCATGTGAGCCATGATGCTTTTTGAGAAACTTGACCTTTTTGTTTTCTATGGAAATAATACATGATAACAATATGAAGATTTCCAGAAAGAACCAGGGAATGAATAATGGGCAAATTCACCTGAGCCAACACATTCAGAACTGTAGTTTCCTACAGAGTTGTGTAATAATCTGTTGAACTGCCTGGCTTTCTTCTGCTCTTAAAAAGGGTGTTGTTTCTGGGGGTTACTAAAGTAAATATCTTGGAATATGAGATATTGACCTTGTTTCTGTTTTCACATCTGTATCGTATACTGCCAAAAGAGGTTGAGCTTATGTCAATGTGGCAGTAATTGATGTAATCTATACATAGTCATAAAAGAGCAGAAGATTATGTTCATTTTTTCTTTGACAGGCTTATGACTTCTTTCTTACTCCTCTTTGGATAGTTGCCTCAGTTCTTTTTAGCTAATGACATGTTAAAAATGGCAAACCATCCATATAGATGCTCTACATTAAATTTATCATGAATCAACTTGAATATATGGCAGCATAGTGCAGCTTTAAATTTGTCATTGTGCAGGTGCTCCCATCATTGGGCAGGAAGGTGCAGCTTTAACTTGCTGGTACCTGACTTGCCACATGTGGGTACCTCTAAAGCTGTGCCATACGGCCTGATGCTGCCCATAGTGACTGACGCCAGGCTATACAGTGTGAATTTAAAGGTCCAGGTGTATAATGGAATTTGAGGAATTTTATCCCAGATTTTTGACGTTGCACATCCTGTCATGCCAGATCTTGAATATATGGCATGACAGGATTCATGATTTTTTGGGGGTCCAGGATAAAATTATTCAGATCCCATTGCATATTTAAGTTCAGTGCACAAAGAATTAAACCACTAAAATCTGCCAGTGGTCTCAAGTATGTTTTATTTAATGGTGTAAGTGTTCAATTATTTTGCCAAGAGACTGGCTTAGTGGATATAAATACTTGTCCCTCTGAAAATACAGATGCCTTCCTCCTTTTAGTCTCATAACCTAAAAAGTCATTTATCATGTGTTTAAGTATGAATGCTTTGTACAAACTAAGCATAAATGTTTCTAAACATGTTTTGTTCCTAATACTGACTTTCTTGTTTAAAATACAGTGAAGGAAACAATTAGAAATAAGTGTGGCATGCAGAATGGAATAATTGATCTTCTCCATAGTAAAATTAATTTTGTTTCTGTATTTTTATGTACAGGATATGTTGGGGTATTTTATTTTTAATAATTTGTGTGCATATCTAGGCCACTGAAAGTGAGGCTGGTGATATGGACCTAAGTGGGTTACCTGAGACAGCAGTGGATTCAGAAGATGATGATGATGAAGAAGACATTGAGAGGGCATCAGACCCTCTTATGAGCAGAGATATTGTTAGAGATTGCCTGGAAAAAGACCCAATAGACAGGACAGATGATGATATTGGTAAGTTTCTTATGAAACCTTGAAGAGGACAATAGAAAATCAAGTCTTAGAACATCTAATGCTATTTAATGTGTTTTAGCTGGTATTTTTCAATCCTGAAACTGAGTAGAGCACTCTTCTTTTAATAACTGTGTGTGTGTGAAATAATTCAGTAAATTGTTTAGAGTATCAATTGATTTTTGCAATTTACTTTTGAATGACTGGAATAAATAAGTATGGCAACAATAACAGATATGAAACTGGAAGTATTAACAAAGCAACTCAATTTAATTTTAAATTGGTACTCCACTAACATGTTAAGCATATTTTTTGTTTCAGATTAAAATTATAATAATAAAAACTGCTATTAACCTAAAATAGAATTTTTTTTATAAGCGAAGCAGGTATTTATGTGTAGCACAGGGTTATAAACATAACAAGTTGTGCTCTCTTTCTTTATGAGTACACTTAGACTTCCTGAATTTATCTCAATCTGTTAGATTCCTTGTTTAGTATATATTTTATTCCACATAATTGGAAAAAGAAAAAAAAAAAAGGGAAAGTAAATGTTGGGGTATTCATGGATACTTAAAGTGCTATCCTGTTACAACTAAAAGTGAAGTTGCACATTACGCTTAAATCATAGTAAGTGCACTTAAAATGTGAGTATCTGCATATTAAATCTCATTAATTTGTGGTAAATGCTCTCTGAGGGTCTCAAAGTTATGCCACTTCAGATGAGGGTTAATTCTGGACCATGATACCTAGCTTATGTTAGGGTAACTTCAGTCTGCTCTATAGAAATAAAATGAGCTATTTGGAGTCCACCAGCATGGGCTAAGTGCAGACATCTGAGGAGGCTAGGGGGAGGTTAGATTGTGTAAGTGACCACCTGATCTAAGGTGAGTTGGGATGGGGGAGGGCTAGTGGGGGGAGAGTTGGAGGGACAGGGGGGCAGGTAGGGGTGGGGGGATGATCAGGGGTCCACAGGAGCAATCAGCGGGGTGGGGAGGCAGGCGACATTCATGCGAGCAATTGAGGAGGGGAGCATCTGGTGTCTGTGGGAGGATTAGCAGGCAAGTGAAATCCACAGGAAGGATCGGTGAGGGGGAGGCGGGATCTTTGGGAATGATTGGGAGGTAGGCAGGGTCTATGGGGGTGGTGATGGAGTCTGGGAGTGTTTGATGGGATCAGGGGGGCTTGTAGGGTCTGCAGGAGGGGGATTTGGGGGGGACCAGAAGCTATCTTTGGCCCCCCTACCTCACCAGGCAACTTTATACCCCCATTCCGCAGTGGCGACTGCTGATAAATCTGACACCTGGAGTGGCTTGCCGGATGGGGGTTGGAGGGACTTGGCTGGTTAATGGGGGTAGGGTAGGGTGCGGTGCTGGGCCAGTAGGGTGGTACAAAAAATGAAGTCTTGGGACTGGGACCAATGGCTGGGCTTTCTCAGCCTCAGGGCTGTGCAGGTAACTTTACTGAAGTTCCATGCACCAGTTTAACCAGTTCAATTAAATTTGAGTGTACATTGATCCAGGCCTATTTTAGACCAGGCTCCATCACTTTTAGACCATTCTGTGTGTGTGGAACTTCTGTATTGTTACAGATTTAGATTGATTTCTGAGCACTGAGACCATATCTAAGTGTAAGGGCCGCACCTGGATGAACTAAGTTGGATAGCATGGCCATTTTTAACCTGATTTAACCTCCTCCCCAAATGCCATGCACTACTTAGCTCCCTCTGCCCAGAGGCAGGATTGAACCTCTGTGTCCTGGCTCCTAGTTGCACCCCTACTCACCGGCCCCCCTGTTCATCAGCAAGTCAGAAATGTGCTGGCAAGAAACAGTATTAGCTCTTAACATGTGACTGCTCATGGCACATTCTCTGTTTTACATTCCACAACTTCAGTATGGTTTAAGTATAACGTGTAAGTTCACTGTTTTACAGACTAGCTTGTAATTTGACATCAGGATCTGTGTGAGACATAAAAATTTCTGCAGACTGAAAAGGGAAGGTTAAAAGCCTTGGATTATTTTGCTGTCTATAGTGATATACATAATGAAGAAAACTCAATGGATCATAATACTGTTGTGTTTCATGTTAGAAACAGGACTTCCATATGTTTGTGTATTTTTATTAGTAAAGCATTGTTTTTATTTGAATGCCCTTGAACCTTACAGCCTGTATTGATGAGCATCTATTCAGGGTTTAAAAGGCATGTCAATATATAAGCTAAGGTAAGAAAAGCAGCAAGTTCAGAATGAAGGTTTCCAGTCTTCCCCATTCTGAATCTTTGTTTCAATGATTGCTTTTTAACTTTTGTAACAACATGAGTTTTGTGATCATCAGGCCTCCAGCTCATTTTGGGATGTGAAAATCAGTGTGTAGTTTCTTTTTCCAGTAATGCAGAAAATCTCTTGCCTCTTAGGCCACACAGTGGTGTTACATTTCTACTGGGAGAACTACCTTTCTCCTGGTAGATATGACAAGAATAAAATTTTCTGTTCAATATCCCCTGAGGGGGAACATGCCCCTTCCACGAGAAGATATTACAGGTAATAAACTGAAATATCTCCTTTGCAAGAGAGTTCCCCTCATAAGAATGAATTCTTGAGTGCTCCCCCTGCCCCCAGTCTGAGAGCAATGTGAACTGCCCTAGGCTAGGGACTGTGCACTGCTGTTCCCCTCTCCAGACTGGCCTGGAACAAGAGGGGAGCAGTGGGGCAGTGCTTTCTGCCTCTTCCCCACACCAGCAAATAAAGAACAGGCTGAGGACTTTGCCCCCTTGTTACTTCTGCTCCCAGGAGGTCTGTGGGCGACAGATTTGAAGTGCTGTGTGGTGGAGCTGTAAAAACTAAACTGAGAAGTAGTGGCTGTGGATTTGCCTTTTTTTGTAAAGTTGGTTCAGTGTAATAACAATATATTCTTAAATGTGACTACTTACATAGCTTTATTTTAGTGCTTATATTCTTTTTAGTTTGGATCTAAGCTGTAGACAGCTTCAGTATAGAACACTGACACCAAAATATATTTAATTTTCATTTTAAAATATAGTCTATGTCCATTAAAAGGGCCCAATATGGTTTTAATTACTGCAGTGGCTCTATGCAGTCATTGAGAGTCCACTGAATATATTCAAAGCACTTGGTTACATTACAGTTCTTTCATTATGCTGGCTTTTATTGGTAGATTTTCCATTGATATAACAAGCCAGTCTGTGCCTACAAAATACCCTGTAATTATAGCAGACCTCTGTACATTATTTGTCAGTATACAGAGAGGTTTGTGCAGTGTTTTAATTTAACCCTAAGGCATCTATCTTTCTGAAGAGCTGTCTTTACTGAGCTTTGTTGTTTTGACATGTATAACTCAGTGGGCTTTTTTCTCCTTCAGAACAACTATTGGAATTCATGCATCAATTGCCTGCTTTTGCCAACATGACTATGTCAGTGAGGAGAGAACTCTGTGCTGTGATGGTATTTGCAGTTGTGGAGAGAGCAGGAACCATAGTACTAAATGATGGGGAAGAGGTCAGTAGAACGTATTTGAACTTGCTCATTAGCAAATATCACAGAATCTGGAGACATCTCTAACAAGAATAAAAGATTCCTTTCTAATTGCTTAAATGTAGCACTGAGCAAGCAAATCACTTGTATGCTTGCTCTCTGTTGCTTTGTATTGTGTTGACTTGTATTCAGTTATGAATTGTTTTCTATTCTGTTAAAGCACCCAGAAGGTATTAAGGTCATGAGCTGAGCCCCACTGTGGGGCTGTTTCTAGGTAACCCACCTAGTACAGGGTGGGCAATTATTTTGGGTAGAGGGCCACTTACTGAGTTTTGGCAAGCCATCGAGGGCTGCATGCCAGGCAGCCAGGGGCAGATAAATATTAATTTTCTAAATTTTTTAGGGGCCCCGTGGGCCAGATAGAAAGGCCTGGCGGGACACTTTTTGCCCACCCCTGCACTAGAAGATGGTTTCCCCGCTCATTCAACTTGGGGATTAAAAAGCAGCCTAACATGATACTATCCATATCACTTTCTTATGGAAACTGGTATGCCTTAATCATGGGTTGTCAAATATACAAATACAGTTCTTGTCTATCTGCTATGGTTTCAAGTTTACTTGAATATTTTATATAGAACTATTTTCCTCCATTGTGATAAAAATTGTTTAAAATTCTGAACTTACTTATTAAAAGCTAAATATTACATCTCCATCAAAATGAAGTAGTCTTAACTATCAAGCAAACTGGGTTGTCTTCCTCCTTCCTTATTTTTTTTAATAATTAATAAAAACATTTCTCAGGAAAAAGAAAAAAAAATAATTGCCACACAAGAATATTAAGTGACTTAGTCTCAGGTGTGGCTGTTCTTCTCATTCACCTTGCACTGATTAATTTTGTAGCTGGATTCCTGGTCAGTTATTTTGAATGGCTCTGTAGAAGTGACATATCCTGATGGAAGAATGGAGATACTGTGTATGGGAAACAGTTTTGGTGTTTCTCCTACCCTAGACAAGGAATACATGAAGGGAGTGATGCGAACCAAAGTGGATGACTGCCAGGTAAAGCATTTTGCTCAGCATGCGTCTGCAAAGCAGAGTTATAAATGTATGGACTGCTATCACTGTTGCCCTGGGGGGTCAGGCCAACTCTCAGGATCTCAATAATGCACCGTTAGACAGGAGGATGCGACACAATTGCACATATACAAAACACACACAAATCAACTAGGTGCGCACGCACGCGCGCTCTCTCTCTCGCGCTCTCTCTCTCTCGCGCTCTCTCGCTCTCTCTCTCGCTCGCTCTCTCTCTCTCTTCCCCCCCCCCACGTATACATTCACACCACCCTAGGCACATGCATACTTATCACCAACTCAAGAACATAACTTATACAACTCCAAAAGTTAGACACAGATCACTAATTCGTATATCATACACACACTCACACTAGCAACTCAGATACACACACGTTCAAAATAACCAGTCTAGGTTCATGCACACCTATCACCAGTTTAAGCCCATACACGCTACACACACCACATTTAGACAGAATCAGTTACCAGCTACCAACACCTGCACATCCAATACACATACGTGGATTACTAATTCATATACCACACCCCCCCTATATATGTGTATTCACTAATTCTCTCACACACCACCCACCTACACATACACACAGGTGAGTTTCTAAGTTGGGTGTTGTGATGTGTATATATATGCATGTGCTTGGTGTACTTGGGATACCTGGGGAAAGGTTAAGGTAAGGAAGCAGAAGTGTAAGGAGTTAAAATTACCAGGACCAGGATTAGACCCAGTAGACTACAGGAGCCTTGGGTGAAGAACTGAGGCTGGGGGTAACTTTAGGTTAATTGATTTTAATTGATTAAAAGACAACGCCCAAAGCCTGCAGAGCAGGGAAGCATGTGGACTCAGAGGCTGGGACTGGAACCAGAGCTACCGGGGAGCTGAAAAGGTAGGTGTTGGAGAGGGAAAGTGGGACTAAGGGAAAGTGTGGGTGTTAAAGAGGGTCTCTGGGTGTGGGGGAGCCAGAGGATGGCTTCGGGGCAGCTAGAGAAGTTGCAGAGTGGGGCAGTAGGTGCTGGGAGCTGGAGAAAGTCTCCAGCTGCTGGAGAAAACCGCAGGAGCTGGGAAGCAGCAGGGGAGGAGCCTGAAAACAGAGAGACAGACAGCAGAAAATCACAGAAAAAGCAGCAGGAGAGACTGAAAGGCAGCAGGGGCAGCAGGGAAATAGAGAAAGGCATCAGAAAGTCACAGGGAAAAGGCAGTAGGAATTGAGAGGAGATCGGGAAACTAGTGGAGAAGGCTGGGGGCTGGAATTGAGAGAGAGAGAGAGAGAGAGAGAGAGAGAGAGAGAGAGAGAGAGAGAGAGAGAGAGAGAGAGAGAGAGAGAGAGAGAGAGAGAGAGAGAGAGAGAGAGAGAGAGAGAGAGAGAGAGAGAGAGAGAGAGAGAGAGAGAGAGAGAGAGAGAGAGAGAGAGAGAGAGAGAGAGAGAGAGAGAGAGAGAGAGAGAGAGAGAGAGAGAGAGAGAGAGAGAGAGAGAGTCCAGGCTAGAAGGGGTCCTTGTCCAGTAGGTGTTGTCCAAAGGGGGGTCGCCAGCAGGGCCTGTGGGTGGGGATAGGTGGTGTGGCACGGTGCTGGTCCAGATGGAAATGTTGTTCCTGCTGGGTCTGTCTTCACTGCCCCTTTTTATAGGGGCAGACCTTGTGTGACCTTAGTGACAGGAGGCATGCCCAGGAAAGGGTCAGCCCCTGGCGTACTGAGCATGTGTGCTCTGTACAGGGATGTGCAGTTTCGGGTGTCTGTAATGGTGAGAGTTGCTGGTTTTGCAGGGTCCTTTGTCATTCAAATGCTGGTCTTGTCTCTGTTCCTGGGTGAATCAACGCGAGGTGATAGCCCAGTCATTACAGGCCATTCAGTAGAGGTCTGCTACCATTGTATTTCAATCATTCCCAATCACACTGATTCATCGAGGACCCAATTTACGTGGGAGGGGTATGTGACTCGTACAGTTGCAACATGGGATGCCCAGGCAGGACAGAAGATGGAGGCTTGACATATAAAATGGAAACTTGACATGACTTTGGTTCACTTACAAACACAGGCCTAAACCATACACTATCCATATGTATCCATAACAGTAAAAATCAATACGAAAATGATAATAATACAATATAAAACAGTGGATATACAAAACAAAAAACTTGCTACCAAAATAAAAATGTTTAAAGCTTATCCTACATCTTAGCTTACTTATACTTATCTATATGGAAAAGAGGGAGAGAAAAGATCAGAAATGTTTGGGGAAGGGGAGGGAATGCATTTTAAAATAAATACAACAAAAAAAAAAGCAAAATGGGGGGTTTTGCTACATCACTACAAGTGTACCTGTCTTATTATGAAAAAAAGCTCTTGGCATTGTGCTTTTAGGTTTATTACACAGTAGTTTTAACTAGGATATTTTCTCCCCAATGTATATTATTAAAAAAAAAATCAGTCTACCTTATCTTTAAATGAATGCATAGATAACATTTGCACTTGATTGGGATGACATTTTTAGCACATTTCTAAGAGGTTCGTTGATCAAGGTGAAATACAGTAGAGCAGTCCTGTTAGTACAGTATTCTGGAGATGTGACACTGTTATGTGAAGACATTGGAAGGATAAGGACTAAATTTATTTTGAACTACACCAAAGAACAGATATCTAGCCTCTTATTTTTCCCCTCAAAGATGCTATGTCTTAGGATGAATCATGGCAAAAAGGTAGGGGGAGGAGCAGGATATTATCACTCATCAGTACCCTTATGTTTTGCTAATAATCCTGATGAAAAATCGTACTTTTTAAAAAATTACAGTTCATTCTTCATTAATTGTATCCTTATGTTTTCAATGATTAGGTTCAAATAATTTTTTTCATATCGGATATGAAAAAAGTACAGAGTAGATGCAATTTGATACTTCTGAGAACAAAATATTGGGAATAGTCACGTTACTTGAATCATCCAAGTGGAATAGTAGTGCTATTTAGTGTGTGTGTAGCATTTTTATTACTTCTGTCCCTGCTGTTTAATTAAAGTTAAACAGTAATTTAATTTTTCATAATGGCAACAGCTTTCTTTAAAATGCTGTTGATGTCAAAGGGCAATTTAATTCTTTTATCTAAGGGATATTAATTTCTATGTAACCTAAATTATTTCATAGATTTCATAGACATCAGGGCTGGAAGGGACCTCGGAAGATCATCGAGTCCAGCCCCCCGCCCAAAGGGCAGGAAGTCAGCTGGGGTCATAGGATCCCAGCAAGATAAGCATCCAGTTTCATCTTGAAGGTGTTCAATGAAGGCGCTTGAACCACCTCTGGTGGCAGGCTGTTCCAGACCTTGGGGGCTCGGACAGTAAAGAAGTTCTTCCTTATGTCCAGCCTGAAACGATCTTGAAGTAGTTTGTGACCATTCGACCTCGTCATCCCTTGGGGCGCTCTGGTGAACAAACGTTCCCCCAGATACTGGTGGTCACCCCTGATAAACTTGTAGGTGGCCATCAGATCACCCCTGAGCCTGCGCTTTTTCAGGCTAAAGAGCCCCAGGGCTCTCAGCCTGTCATCGTAGGGTCTGCTTCCCTGACCTCTGATCATGCACGTGGCTCTTCTCTGGACTCTCTCAAGCTTCTCCACATCCTTTTTGAATTGTGGAGCCCAAAACTGGACACAGTACTCCAGCTCCGGCCTCACTAAGGCCGAGTACAGGGGGAGAATGACGTCCCGGGATTTGCTTGAGAAGCATCTATGGATGAAAGCCAGCGTTTTGGTCGCTTTACTAGCCGCCGCATCGCATTGCAGGCTCATGTTCATCTTGTGGTCAACGATGACCCCCAAGTTACTACCTTATAAGCTAGATGTGAGAGTTGACAGTGGATAAATTATTCATTTACTTTGTTGAACAGTCAGAACAAGGCAGTGGAGATGCTAAAAGGGATTGAATGGTATTTAGTGATGGTGCAGAAAAGATAACAGAGCACTACTCAGCATGCTTATCTTGGGTTTGCATCAGTTTGGAAGGTGTTTCCTTCAGGGTACTGTATAAGGAAAATAAAGACCAAGTAATACATATTCTACAGTTTCAACATAGTTCTGGGTATTTTCAGTACAGTCAAATACAAGGAAAGTACATTTTTCTGGCAGTAGCCAATACTTGTCACATTAAGGACTGTCTTAGAACTAGGGATTACGTCTGCATCTGGCAGTATTTAATCTGTATGCAGTAAATTACTGTAGTCTGGGAAGACACAAAACAATTGAAGTTCTTAAAGGGTGGAAACTTATCACTGGTGAGTGTGCATCAGTTGACCTGTTTATGTGTCGTGTGTTGGTTTCTACTTTGTGTGCTAGAAACACTGTTGAAAAGATTCCTTTTCCTTAGGAATATGTTAAAGAGTGTTCTGTATTTTAAAACTCTTTCTACAGGGTTCGGCATAAGCAAAATAAGTATCCGGTGTTGTTTCTGACCCAAGGAAAATCTGACATTTATCCAGACCTTATGGATCTCAGGAGTCGTACAACTTCTATTGCAATGAGTTTTGCACAATTTGAAAATTTGCTGGTAAGTTGTTACATTTCTTTATTCGTCAGTGAAATGGAACTAGTTTATTACTGTATTCTATAATTGCTGATATTGATGACTGGATACAGAAACTGAATTCTAAAATGAGATGATCAGCAAATTATTAGTACAGGAAAGTGTTGAGAGTCTGCTAAAGTGATACATTTTCTTGGGTGCAAAGTAGGCCGGCTGACACGTGAAGCCGCCCCAGCTCCCATGCAGTGCGCAGTGCCCTGCTGAGCTACACTGCACCCGTGCCATGGAGCAGCTGCTGCGTGGGTGCCAAATGGTGGGTGGGGGGGAATCCCTGTTGCCCCGCACTGTG